AGGCGTCATGAGAAACTCATGACGGTGGAGGTCAGGGTATGGCAAAGCCGACAGAGCCATCGTTGAAGTCGAGATCCCCTTCCATATCCCCAATCCAAAATGTGCGCCTGCGCGTCAGGGATGCTGGTGCACTGCCCATCAATGTGACGCCGTCGTAGCCAGGTACCCATAAGAAGGACGGGGTCCCTCAGGTCACGACACATGTTGTATTTCTCCATAATATCTCTCATCAGCGTTAAACAATAATGCGTCTGCTGCCCCACATTGGGCGCAGGTGCCCCCGCGTATACATTAATATCCCCACCCAAGACAATCGAACACCAGTTAGGCTGCACTACCATCTTCTTATACGTGAGCATTTCCTCTGCCACCTTCGGTCGACCTTGGAGATAAGCATCGCACCTCAGCATGTGAAAGCGGCCTGACCGTATTTCCAGCGCTCCAACTCGCCCTTGTCCGCCAGCGGGCTGTGCATGAATCAGTGCAATATGGCAAGAACAAAAGTGTCTTCGTCGAGGTCGTGCCCCCCTTCCATATCCCCAGTTCAGAATGTGCGCATGCATGCCCCAGTGCCCATCAGCGTGACGCCGTCGTAGCCGGGCACCCGTGATAGGGACAACAGCTTTGGTCTGATATGCTTCAGGGCTTTCCACTGCTCTACCGCCCTGCACAAGAGAAGTGACAATGAACACAATGAAGAGGAGAGGTGCATGCACGGCTGCGGGCCGCACGCCGCGACGGGGAGCGCCTAGATGGAAGGGGGTGCAGGCGCTGGGTAGGGGGGAACACACATCCCTGAGGCCGCGCAGGGTGTGCGAAGGGACCTGCGCCAGGGCGGCTAGGAGGAGGTGGAGGAGGAGGAGAAGCAGAAGGAGAATGTTCCAGGTTGGCATGACCATCAGGAAAGTTATCTGAAGGCGATGATTGCTAATGTGTACTGGAGTCAAGAGAGGATCAACTCACACGCTAAGGAAATTTCATGTTTGTGCATGCTATGTCAGGGCGCGCCTGGCACTACTTGCCATCGTCGTTTCGAATGTCCAGCTCATGCAGCGTGGAGGCGCGAGAATCTAGATGACTGGGTTCGGACTGCAGCGGGCCGAATATCCACTTTGTCTCTGGAGGACCAGAAGCTTTTCTGCAGAGGCCTCTTTCCAGATCCTGGGAGGTTCATTTCTCGGCCCGAGAGGTGCGCGGAGGACCCCTGCACTCAGAGGATCAACTGGCCACGGGAGGGCATCGTGATTCAGGCCGATCAGCACGTGTACACCGACGGATCTGGGTATGAGATGTTTTGGCCCTCTTTGAGGATGGCAGGATGGTCTGTTGCTTTATCTGACTACAACGGGGAAGTAGTCTCGGCTCTTTATGGTGTGGTGCCGATATCGGAGGCGCCAGACCATATTGCGAGGGGCGGCGAAGATTACGCGGTTCTGATGTTGTCGAGGAATGCGGCAGTTGCCCCTGGAGCCTCAATACACATAGACTGGTCTGGCACTCTGGGTTGTTCTCGGCTTTTGGTAGTTCGGAGCTGTCTTGGGCCACAGAACAGAGGGCCCATTGGTGGAGTGATATTGGCGATCGGCTTCAGGGTGCTTGCTTTGTCAAAGTGAAGTCTCACATGCCCTACTCGGCGGCGCGCGAAGGTAAGACTTGCCACAGAGACTGGAGAGGAAACCAGGAGGCGGATCGTCTTGCCAAGGAGGGGCTGAACCGTTTCGGGCAGCAGATGAGGACTTGCTGCTGCTGGGTGGTTTGCATGAGATTGCGAAGAGAGTCGCCAGGTTTGGCGCGTTACAGCAGGCTTTTTTGTCCCACGAGGAGTACAGGGATCACGTGGGCTTCGAGTGGATGAGTAAAATCGAGTTGGTGCCCTTGGAAGGTCTCCCTATTCCAGCCTGCTGTGCCCATGGAGCTCCCGATGAGAAGGACCCCGAGGTTTTGGAGCCAGATGAGTTTGTCTCGGAGTCTTGGGCTTGGGATAGGCACTACATACGTAAGGCGGCAGTTTTTGAGGACGAAGTTGAGGTCGGCTCGATGATTTTCTGCACGAGTTGTGGAAGCAATGTTTCTTGGGCGCACAGGGCTCATTTTAAGTCCAAGTGTAAATTGCGTTCGACATGTTGTCCCAGGACGGTAACGGGTACTCGGAATGTGGGTAGGACCGAGAAAGGTTTGCACCCGTTGACGTCCACCAGCCTCAAGGTTCAGGAGGTTGGCGGTCTGAATCAGATCGAGAAGGACCTGTGGCGGCCCTTCCTTGAAGACTCGGGCGAGTCCAGTAGGAGTGAGGGCCCTGCCGCCGCTCGCCTGTCGAATTCGAGGTTTCGAATGAGGAGCGAGGCCCCTGGGATCGACCTGGTCCGTGGTCTGGCCCTTTTTGGCCTCTCGGGGAATGAAGCGATTTCCCTGGGCCGTTTGGCCCGCGAGCGGGCCCGCTCCCGTTCCGTGGAGGAGGATGAGCTCCTCCCCGATGGGCCTTGACGGCCCGCGCCCGTTTTTGGCGCTGCTCGTCGCCCCCGTCGCGGCCTGGGCCCTTCCCCCCCTCTTTGCATGCGAATGTGGTAGCACCTTTTTCCGCTGTAGAGCTAGCGGAGGAGGAGGAGGAGGAGGAGGAGGAGGAGGAGGAGGAGGAGGAGGAGGAGCGAATGAGGTGGCGGAGGAGGAGGAGGAGGACGAGGAGGAGGAGGAGGAGGAGGAGGAGAGATGAGGAGGCGGAGGATAAGGATAAGGAGGAGGAGGAGGCGGAGGAGGAGGGACGATGAGGAGGAGGAGGAGGAGGAGGAGGAGAAGAAGAATAAGAGGAAGCGGAGGCGAAGAGGAGGAGGAGGAGGAGGAGGAGGAGGAGGAGGAGGAGGAGGAGCGATGAGGAGGAAGAAGAGGAGGAGTGAGGAGGCGGAGGAGGAGGAGGTCCGCGAACGTGCCCTGGGCCACGATCTGCGACCCCCTCCCCTCCGACGCCCCCCGCGTCTTCAGACGCCGGGCGCCCCGAGGCGGAGCGCCTGCGGGCACCGAGGGCCGGGAGTGAGGCCGCCCCGCTTTGTGCTGCCGGGCGCCTCGGGGCTCCCGAGGGGCCGACGAGGCCTGCAGTCGTAAGGCTCGTGAGTTTTTTTTTCCAGCAACGGAACAAGAATCGTAGTCTCGTCGGCGCCGATGCCAGCTTAGCATCGCCGACGTAGCTGCCACGCACACAGGCCTCCAAGAGGCACCCAACACTCCTCGCAACCGATCCCAAGCCAGGAGGCCTCCCCGGCAGTGCTGCCCGAGTGCTGCCGCGCACAACAGCGCCCTGCGGCGGGTGGCTGAGCCGACCGCCGGGAGGGGTCGTCTTGACCTCTGCAGCTCCTGTGCCGCTGGCAGTCGGGACGTTGACCCAAGGAACCCTAAATAGAGAACGAGGCTCCTTTTTCCCATCGGCTAAAGTTCGATTTCCCATCACAAACCTGAGGATAACCTGAGGCAAGCTGTGAAACAATGCAGGAACACGGAGCCCCTCCCCAGCGAAAAGGGTTCCCTCTTCAGCGCCCCGACTGTATGGCAGGTTCGTGTCGTGACGATCCCAGGGCTGGTTTCTGACACCGCGTGGAGCGTTCGACCCCTGAACGATCGGCGGCTCTTCGATCGCCGGATATCGTTCCATGTGGGCCGATCCTGGCCACCGGCGGCGTTCAACCCGAAACGCCCGCGGCGGGGTTGCCGCCGGTCGACACGACGCGTTCCGAACCTACCGTATGTTGCATCCTCAGGGGGACCTTGCCTGTCCCGTCGCGGCCCGCGTCGAATCCGTGTCGAATCCATGTCGGATTAGGTCGGGCGTGTCCCCCTACAGGCACACTCTGGGAGGAAAAATAAGAAATACCCCTACAATGTTCAACAATAGTCATAAAATACAAAAAAAACGTCCCCAGACTATTTCTTGTATTATTTTTGAATGTTCCTCCTGTAGAGGGACATGCCCGATTTAAATGTCGGACTCGTTGGATCCGTGTCGAATCCGCGTCGGATCCACGCCACAGGCGCGTCGAGCACCAAGGACAGACACGAACTGTGGACTATGGGGAGAGGCGGGGCCCCCCGGGGCTGCAACGTCACAGGACCGGTTCTTCATGCCGAGTCCCTTTTGACGGTCCCGAGGACCGGAGAGTCGAGACATGGAACAAACACTGCCTGTTGCGATTTTTGTCACGACTCGAAGGGGTCTGGGAGTGGGAGGTCGGGGATCCACGGACCCGGGTCGATCCAGACCCGGGTCAGTGAGGCTCTGCAGGATCCTTCAACATCCTGCTGGATCCTGCACCCAAGCCCGGGGTCAATGCACCAGCACTGCAGGATCCGTCCAGGTCCGGCGCTTTGACTGACCCCCGTTTGCAGTGACCCCCGTCTCTCGAGTAGGGGATCAACTACAGGATTGAGTAACCCCAACATTGAAATGTCCGTCGGATCTTTGGAAACCGAAGAAACGCAGAATGTTTGTAGCTGTGCGGGCATTCTACGCTCTTGCTCCATATATTCGACGAAGACAAACTTGGGCAATCCAATGTTGTAGTCGATCCCCTAGTCCAGTCTCTTAGACAGGGACCTCCTAGATGGGGTCGGAGTAGATGGGGTCGGGGGATCGCGCCGCACCGCCGATGCATCGGCCATGCACTGGCGATGCAGCATCGACGTCGGCGATGCATCGGCGACGTCGACGAGAAGCACACCGGGCTGCACATCGAGCCGCACCGCCGCTTCCGTCGGCGATGCGGCGCGATCCTCCGACCCCCTCTACTCCGACCCCATCTAGTAGGCCTAGATTAAAGGGGCCCTGGGACACACAAATAAATACACACAAAATCACAGGATTCCCAAAATTTTCCAATATGTTCTGGGCTTTTGTCTTGCCCCCCACTTCCCATATTTTCCCATATTTTCCTGGGAGTCGACGATTAATTGTGTCTGTGCGTTTCCTCCCCTCCTGATAGATGAGAGCCCCGAGGACGGGAGCCAGCACCCCGCGCCTCCTCGGCGGCCTCCCTCGCCTCCGCCAGCGCGTCGTCCCCGGCGCCCGGCTCGACGGCGGCGGCGGCCTGCGAGGCCTCGGCGGCGGCCTCGGCGAGGGCCTCCGCCTGGGGGCCGCGCGCGCTGTGGCGCCGCCGACGCCGCTGGCGACTTCTTTGGCTCGCCCGCTCGGGAGCGAATGGCCCGTTTTGCCCAATCATCCTGTGGTGTTCGGCCCACGTTTTGAAGAGGCAGCGCCCCGCGTAACCCCACCTCACCTCCCGCCCTCCTCCCCCTCCTCCTCCCTCCTCCCATCCGCCTCGTCGGCGTCATCTTCGTCATTATCATCGTCATCGTCATGATCCACATCATCATGATCCTCAGCATCGCCATCGGCAGCGCGCCGCGCCCCTCACACGGTTCGTGGCACCACAGGGAGCTCCACCGAAGGCCAAAGTTGCAGCGGAAGCATGCGTCACCACCGCCCCATGTCGGCACATCCCTCACACGGCTCGTGGCCCCATAGGGAGCTCCACCGAAGACCCCAGCGGGAACGTCGGCATGGCACCGCCGCCCCATTTCGGCACACCCCTCGCACGGCTCGTGGCCCCATAGAGAGCTCCACCGAAGGCCCAAGCGGGAACGTCGGCATGGCACCGCCGCCCCATTTTGGCACACTCCTCACACGGTTCGTGGCCCCATAGGGAGCTTCGCCGAAGGCCCCAGCGGGAACGTCGGCATGGCACCGCCGCCTCACTTTGGCGCACCCCTCACACGGTTCGTGGCACCCAGCGGGAACGTCGGCATGGCACCGCCGCCCCATTTTGGCACACCCCTCACACGGGTTGTGGCCTCATAAGGAGCTCCACCGAAGGCCCCAGTGGGAGCGTCCGCATGGCACCGCCGCCCCATTTTGGCACACCCCTCACACGGTTCGTGGCCCCATAGAGAGCACCACCGAAGGCCCCAGCGGGAGCGTCCGAATGGCACCGCCGCCCCAATTAGCACACCCTTCACATGGTTCGTGGCCCAATAGGGAAATCCATCGAAGGCCCCAGCGGGAGCGTCCGAATGCCACCGCCGCCTCATTTTGGCACACCCCTCACACGGTTCGTGGCCCCATAGGGAGCTCCGCCGAAGACCCCAGCGAGAACGTCGGCATGGCACCGCCGCCCCATTTCGGCACACCCCTCACACGGCTCGTGGCCCCATAGGGAGCTCCACCGAAGGCCCCAGCGGGAACGTCGGCATGGCACCGCCGCTCCATTTTGGCACGCCCCTCGCACGGTTCGTGGACCCATAGGGAGCTCCGCCAAAGGCCAGAGCGGGAGCGTCCGCATGGCATTGCGGCCGTTTTTGGCACACCCCTCACACGTTTCGTGGACCCCATAGGGAGCTCTGCCGAAGGCCCCTATGGGGGCTTCCGCATGGCACCGCTGCCCCATTTCGGCGCACCCCTCACACGGTTCGTGACCCCAGAGGGGGCTCCACTGAAGCCCCCAGCGGGAGCGTCCGCATGGCACGGGCCGCGCACGGGGCTCGGGCGAAACCCAGAAGACTCCTCGCTCGCCCGCGTCAGCCTTTCTCCCCCTCATGGACGCCGCAGTCCTGTTTGCTGCCCCCCTCCTTCGTCTCCTCTCCCTCGCGGTACTCGCAGCAGCATATGGTTGGGTCCTTCGTCAGGCGAATGGTTTAGACCCAAGCAAGTTTACGTGCACGGCGTTCCCCTCACCCCCCCCCACCCACCCCACCCCGACCGCCCCCCTCCTCGTCCCTTTTCAAACGAATACTCGCGTGCAAGGGCCTTTCGACTTGCGTAATTGCCGCACGTCAAATCGATGGCGGCTTGCTTCACGTTCAGCCCCCCGTCCATGCAAGCACTTAGTCGGAGTAAAAGCAAACATGGTCGAAGGCCTCCTACACCCCTGCGCAGAATTAAGAAGAAGATATTACGCTAAGGACGTGACCTTCACTGCAAGCGTTGTCTTAAACCGCAACCCAGGTCCTCAAATACGAACGTTCTGGGGAGGAAAAAACTCCATGAGAACGCCCAGGGTCCAATCCAGATCCTGAACTCTCTGGAACGACATCTGGAGTCCACGACGGCTGCCGCTTGTCCTTGCGATTCCTGATGGGCCTAGGGGCTCACGAGTGCGGCGACCCATCCGCTCGCTCAGAACCAGGCGCCCAGACGGCGCATCGGCAGCCACATGGTGGGTGCAGGGGCTCACGAGTGCGGCGACTCCTTCGCTCGCTCAAAACCAGGCGCCCAGACGGCGCATCGGCAGACACATGGTGGGTGTAGGGGCTCACGAGTGCGGCGACTCCTTCGCTCGCTCAAAACTAGGCGCCCAGACGGCGCATCGGCAGACGCATGGTGGGTGTAGGGGCTCACGAGTGCGGCGACTCCTTCGCTCCCTCAAAACCAGGCGCCCAGACGGCGCATCGGCAGCAAGACACACGGCAAAACAAACAAACACATCCGCAGGACATCTCGCTGAGCCGCCCCCGCGTGCGCCTCGCAACACGTGCACGGTGCGGCCGATATCGGCGGCAGACAGCCCTCGCAATTCGTGGAGCCATGCTTTAGACGTCGACTCTTCTCCCCCTCCTCCTCCTCCTCCTCCTCCCCCTCCTCCTCCTCCTTCTCCTCCTCATCGTCCCCCTCCTCCTCCTCCTCCTCCTCCTCCTCCTCCTCCTCCTCCTCCTCCTCCTCCTCCTCCTCTCCTCCTCCTCCGTCCTCCTCCTCCTCCTCCTCCTCCTCCTCCTCCTCCTCCTCCTCCTCCTCCTCGCGCCGCAGGGTGGCCTCGAGTGATGGGTCCATCAGGTTCCTCCAGCGCCAAAACTGAAGCACCCAGGGCTGGGAAGCTCAGTAGGGGTACGCGAAGCTTGCCTCAAGACAATTGCACAATTGTCGCCATATTCGCGTCCTCGAGGCCATAAACCCTTGCAAAGTACGCCGTGTTCGCATTGCCGAGGCCAAGAGTGCTCCAAGGCGCCCGAAGATGGTTCCAAGACGGCCCAACAGGGCCCCAAGAGGCACCAAGAGCGCTCCAAGAGGCCTCCCGAGAGAGTCCCAAGAAGCCCAAATCGTCTACTAAACGAAAGTTTTTGACGGAAGTTGGCCTTCTCGCATGTTCGGCTTTCCGACGCTCGAAAACGGCTCAAGAAGTTCCCAAAACCGCCTCAAGACAGCCCAAGAAGCCTCCAAGAGGTCCCCAAGATGGCCCAATTGGGCTCCAAGATGGCCCAAGAAGCGCTCAAGATGGCCCAAGTGGGTCTCAAGACGGCCCCAAGAGGTACCCAAGCAGGGGTCCACGAACCGAAAATTCTACACTTGTGCTCCGAGAAGCCCCCAGGAAGCTTCAAGAGGCCGCCAAGAGGCCCCAAAACGGCTCAAGAAGCGCCCAAGACGCGCCCAAGAGGCCTCCAAGAGGCCCAAAAGATACCCCACGAGGCCCCAAGAGGCCCTCAAGAGGCGCCAAAACCAACTCAGGCCCCCGAGAGGCTCCCCACGACACCACAACACATGTACGAGAGGCCTCAGACCTACAACCCAGACACGGTGGCGGGATGAGCCGAAGGCCACTCAGATCCGCCGCCCCCTGCTGAAGCAGGGGTGCACGGCGTGCTGGATGTTTCAGGTTTTGGTTTTGGTTCTTTTTCCAAAAGAACTTCCCAGTGGGCTCCGGCAGAACCCGCCGGCCACCCGGAATTTCCCCAAACGTGCTCAACGACCTCAAAAAATCCTCCAAGAACGGCCGTTTCGCTCGGGACATCCTCAAAAAATCGCGAAGATGGCCCAAGATGGCCTCCAAGTCCGCCCGAGATGGTCCACGACGGCCTCCAAGACGGCCCAAGAGAGTCCAAGACGGCCCAAGACGGCCCAAGAGGCCCCCCAGAGGTCTCCCAGACGGCCCAAGAGGCCTCCAAGAGGTTCTCCAGGAGAGTCCGAAGAGGCCAAAATCATTGATTTCCCCTTGGTTGTTCAAGGATTTTGGCATTTGCGCCTTTTCGGCTCTCCGACGGCTCAAGACGGCCCAAGAGGCCCCCAAGATCGCCCAAGAGGCCCCCAAGAGAGCCCCATGATGGCCCAAGTGGCCTCCAAGATGGCCCCTAGAGGGCCCCAAGAGGGCCCAAGAGGCCTCCAACACGCCCAAGATGGCCTCCAAGACGCCCAAGATGGCCTCCAAGACGGCCCTGGAGCGCCCCAAGAGGGTCCCCCGTTGGCCCAGAAAGGCCCCCAAAACGGCTCCCGACGGCGTCAGACGTGCCAGGAACCCACCAAGATGGCCGAAGTTGGCTCGAAGCTGGCCCAAAAGGGCCCAAGAGGCCCCCAAGAGGGCCTCCAGGAAGGCCAAAAGATGCCAAAATCACTGATTTTCCCAAGGTTTTTGATGGATTTGGGCATTTCCCTTTTTTCGGCCTTCCGACGGCCCGAGACGGCCCAAGAGCCCCCAAAGATCGCCGAAAGATCGCCCAAGAGGCCTCCAAGACGGCGACGATGACCATCAAGACGCCCACGTGTTCCCCGAAGGCTTTCCAAACCGATTCGGGGAACACATGGTCCGATGGCTTGGCAGGTCTGGCCTCAACGTTCGGCCACATAGGCGCTTCCACAAAGGCAGGGGGCGGCGGTGATTCGCCGTAGGCGTCTTCGATCCGCCGCCCCCTGTCGATTCATCGCAGGGGTGCCTGGCGTGCCAGATCCTCTCGGTTTGGGTTTTGGTTCTTTTTCCAAAAGAACTCCCCCCGGGGGTCCGGCCCGTCCCGCCGGCCACCCGGAAAGGTGCTCAAGCCGGAAAAAGAATCCTCCAAGATGGCTCCAATATGGCCTCCAAGATGTCCAAGATGGCCCAAGAGGGCCTCCAAGATGGTCCAAGATGGCCTCCAAGTCCGCCCAAGATGGTCCAAGACGGCCTCCAAGACGGCCCAAGAGAGTCCAAGACGGCCTCCAAGACAGCCCAAGAGAGTCCAAGACGGCCCAAGACGGCCCAAGAGGCCCCCCAGAGGCCTCCCAGACGGCCCAAGAGGCCTCCAAGGTCCTCCAGGAGGGCCCGAAGAGGCCAAAATCATTGGCTTTCCAATGGTTTTTGACAGATTTTGGAATTTGCTTCTTCTCGGCATTCCGACGGCTCAAGACGGCCCAAGAGGCCCCCAAGATCGCCCAAGAGGCCCCCAAGAGGGCCCCATGACGGCCCAAGTGGCCTCCAAGATGGCCCCAAGAGGGCCCCAAGACGGCCCAAGAGGCCTCCAACACGCCCAAGATGGCCTCCAAGACGCCCAAGATGGCCTCCAAGACGGCCCCGAAGCGCCCCAAGAGGGTCCCCCGTTGGCCCAGAAAGGCCCCCAAGACGGCTCCCGACGGCGTCAGACGTGCCAGGAACCCACCAAGATGGCCGAAGTTGGCTCGAAGCTGGCCCAAAAGGGCCCAAGAGGCCCCCAAGAGGGCCTCCAGGAAGGCCAGAAGAGGCCAGAAGCATTGATTTTCTTTAGGTGTTTGACGGATTTTGACATTTCCTTCTTGTCGGCCTTTCGACGGCCCGAGACGGCCCAAGAGCCCCCAAAGATCGCCGAAAGATCGCCCAAGAGGCCTCCAAGACGGCCAAGATGACCTTCAAGACGCCCACGTGTTCCCCGAAGGCTTTCCAAACCGACTCGGGGAACACATGGTCCGATGGCTTGGCAGGTCTGGCCTCAACGTTCGGCCACATACCACGAAACGTGTGAGGGGTGTGCCGCCATGGGGCGGGGCCGCCATGCGGTCCCTGCCACTGGGGCCTTCGGTGGAGCTCCATATGGGGCCACGAAACGTGTGAGGAGTGTGCTGAAATTGGGCGGGACCGCAGTGAGAACCCTGCCGCTGGGGCCTTCGGTGGAGCTCCTTATGGGGCCACGAGCCGTGTGAGGGGTGCGCCGCAATGACGGTGGAACTGCATGCGAACCCTGCCACTGAGGCATTCGGTGGAAGCCCCTATGGGGCCACGAAACGTGTGAGGGGTGCGCCGAAATGGGGCGGGGCCGCCATGCGAACTTTACCACAGGGGCCTTCGGTGGAGCTCTCTATGGGGCCACGAAACGGGTGAGGGGTGTGACGAAATGAGGGTGGAACTGCATGCGAACTTTGCCACTGGGGCCTTCGGTGGAGCACCCTGTGGGGCCACGAACCGTGTGAGCGGTGCGCCGAAATGAGGGTGGAACTGCATGAGAACCCTGCCACTGAGGCATTCGGTGGAGCTCCCGATGGGGCAACAAACTGTATGAGGGGTGCGCCGAGATGAGGGTGGAACTGCATGCGAACCCTGCCACTGAGGCATTCGGTGGAGCTCCCTATGGGGCAACGAACCGTGTGAGGGGTGCGACAGAATGAGGGTGGAACTGCATGCGAACCCTGCCAATGTGACCTTCGGTGAAGCTCCCTATGGGGACACGAACCGAGAGAGAAAGGCACCGAGATGGGGGCGAAACTGAATGCGAAACCTGCCGCTGTGGCCTTCGGTGGAGCTCCCTATGGGGCCACGAACCGTGTGAAGGATGCGCCGAAATGGGGCAGCGGTGCCATGCGGAAGCCCCCATAGGGTGCAGCGGTGCCATGGTGAAGGAACCGCATGCGAACCCTGCCACTGGGGCCTTCGATGGAGCTCCTTCTGGGGCCACGAGCCGTGTGAGGGGTGCGCCGAAATGAAGGTGGAACTGCGTCGCCGAACCCTGCCACTAAGCGGTGGAGCTCCCTATGGGGCCACGAACCGTGTGAGAGGTGCGCCGAGATGAAGGTGGAACTCTCTATGGGGCCACGAACTGTGTGAAGGGTGCGCCGAAATGACGGTGGAACTGCATGCGAACCCTGCCGCTGGCGCCTTCGGTGGAGCTCCTTTGGGGCAACGAACCGTGTGAGGGGTGCGCCGAGATGAGGGTGGAACTACATGCGAACCCTGCCACTGACACTGGGGCCTTCGGTGGAACTCCCTATCGGCCCACGAAACGCTGTATTGGGTATGCCGAAACGGAAACATGCGGAGGACAGAGGCAAGGAAGGGGAGGAGGGAGGAGGGGGAGGAGGAGGAGAGGAGATGAGAGGAAAGAAAGTGGGCGCTGTCTCGTCAAAATGAGGACCCAACACCGCAGGATGGTTGGGAATCAAGACGGAGGCTTCTCGAAAAGTTCGGCCCCTAAGGGCCCTCGCCGGGCCACGGGACCGTCAAAAAACGACTCAAGATGAAATACCGATCCTGGGGAATGGGTCGAGACTTCCGGGGACCCCGTATTGAGAACATCGGGACATCGGATGCCAGGGAAAGCACGACGGGACAAGACGGTCGACCCGTAGCAGAAGGACGGAAGGCCATCTCTCTGAGCTCTCCGAGCGGGGCGCGGCCAGCGAGCGTGGCCAAGGATGGACCGAGGCGGCAAGGATGCAGGGGTATCCTTCTGCCGCGGGGCCAGAGACGACCCCCGCCCGGAATTGAAACAACTGGGCTCTGGGAGGGCGGGGACTTCTGGGGGCCTCGGGAGGATTGAAGAGATCCGGATCCTGGGGTCCTGGCTCCCGGAGATCTGCACCCCTTGACCTGGGACTGGAGGGTCTTCATCCTCCCGTTCTTCTGGCGGCCCTGGGGCCCAGAACACGGGCCCCAGGGAGACCGAGGATTGCTCAGAACCGCCCGTCGTCTTCACAGCGAGAAGCGGTGGGGGGACTCTGAGACCCGACGCCGCGAAGGACATGCAGCATCGCAGAAAATGACCACTGGAGCCCTGGACGTACCCTTAGGTCGGGCATGTCCCCCTACAGGCTGATCGTGGACGAAAAATAGAAAAGATTCCAAAAGCATTCAAGAATGATCAAACAAAAAGAGTAGAAAAATCGTCCCCTGATTATTTGTTTTTACAATTTTTGAATTTTCCTCCTGTAGAGGGACAGGCCCGACTTAAACGTACCCCATCTTCCTGCCCCATTTTTCGAGCCAGATCGATCTGTGATGGTCCTGGGGCCCGAAGCCGTGCGAAACCGCCCGGCGTGAAGTTACAACGCCTGGATCCGAGGGGAGCGCAGTCGCACGGTGGCCGCGCCGGCGGCGGGGGCGTGCCGGCTGCAGCGGCGTCTCTGGCACGGGCACGGCGGACGGCGGCGGGGCGTCCAGCGGCGTGTCGGGCACAGGGACGCGCGCCGCGCTAGCGGCGTCTGCCTCGCGGCGGCGGAGGCGGCCCAACCGTGGCCGCGCCGCCTCCGCAGAGCTCTCTCCGCCCTCCGCCCTCGTCCGTCCGCCGCCCTCCCCTGAGATCCTGGCGTTGCACGTCTTTCACGGCGGGCGTCTTCGCTCGGTTTCGGGCCCCGGGACCCCCTCACAATCCGATCCGGCTGGAACCATGGCGCAGACAGGTGGGGTCCGGGACTCCGTGGGTGATTCGTGACGACCCTGAGATCCGACGGCGCGGAAAAAACGAAACACCATCAAAAATCTCGACTGAAGCCCCAGACCCCATCTGTCTGCGCTATTCTTTGAGCTCGCTCTAGCACCGAGCTGTGAGGGGGCTACGGAGGGCCCCGAAACCTCACGAAAACGCCCGGCTGTCGGGGGATGATGCATGTGTTTCCTGCAGCGTCAGCTCTGGGGTCCTCCCCCCGACGAACATGTGCCCGCAACGCTCCGGCAGGACACCTCCGTCCTCCGCCCTCCTCTCTCTCTGGCGCTGGGTCCTCCGTACAGTCGGACTTGGGACAGGGCAACATCTTTCAAGAACATGAGAACCTCCGCTGGCCAAAACAAAGGGTACCCTCCCCAGGATTCATAAGAACATCCAGAAAACACGAAGAACATAAGGATACCCTCCCCGAAACGACCTCGATATTACACCTCCGACTGTGATACTGTCAAATCTTGCTGTTGGTGCTGCTGTCTGTTGTTGTTGTTGTTGGTGCTGTTGTTGTTATTGTTGTTGATGGTGTTGTTGGTGTTGTTATTGTTGTTGTTGGTGGTGTTGGTGGTGGTGTTGTTGTTGGTGTTGTTGTTTGTGTTGTTGTTAGATGCTGATGATGCTGTTATTGTTGTTGGTTGTTGTTGCTGTTCTCGTCATCCCCCCGCGACCCTCCCGCGACCCAACGCGCGACTGCCCACTCACTCTTATCCGTAACCGCGGGGTGCTACGTAGGGCGAATATTTCAGCAAAGGTACGGCAGGAACAACGACGGGGAAATTCACATCACATGAGCTTGAAACGCAGGGCCGGCATTTCCGCCTTATTTGCGAATGTGTCCAGAAGGGCGGATCGAGAATCAGAGCCTTGCCTCCCTCCGCCCTCCTCATTGTTTCTGTTCGCCCTTACCCCTCCTCAGCCACCAACCTCCCACCTCTCTCCGTCAGACTCCTTGCCTTTCGTTTCCCCAACCTTCCATCTGCCTCCCGCCATCCTCCGTCCTTCTTCAGCGGTCCATCCTCCACGCGTCCTGTATGCCCGCTGCATGCATGTTCCGCTCATGTCAATCCATATTCCACACCCTCCTCTTTTAGTATTGCTCGTACAGTCTGCCCGTATCGTAAGGATGCGCGATAAGGATGCAAGGGCCTTGGAAGGGCGTTTCGAAGCTTTTCGAGTGGGGCACGGCCAGAGAAAGCGCCCAATGATGGACCGAGGAGGCAAGGATGCAAGGGTACCCTTGGAAAGGTCGCCTATGCTTATTCTGCATTCCCACTGCATGCATTTTCCGCTCCCGTCAATCCATCTTCCACACCCTCCCCTCCTCGTGATGCTCGTACCTCCCCTTTCTCCTTGCCGTCCCCCCTCTCATTCTAACTCACTCCCCGGGCGCCTCCTCCCCTCTCCGTGCCCCCCCCCAGCCTTCGGTCGGGCATGTCCTCCTACATGCGAATGTAGGGAAAAACAGTCAAACAATATTCGAAACTAATCCGACAATAATGAAACATTGTACCCGAACTATATTTGTACTATTTTGCATACTCATCCTGTAGAGAGACAAGCCCGACATAATCCTAGCCCTGCCCCAGCCCTTCTGCCAACCCAGAAAATCCCCATTCCCCTCCGCTGCGCCCCATCAAACCCCGCCGCCTGCCTGTGCCTTTCTGCCTGTCCGTCCCCCGCCTCCCCCCGCTCCGCTCTGCATTACCTCCCCCCCTCCTCCTCCTCCTCCTCCTCCTCCTCCTCCTCCTCCTCCTCCTCCTCCTCCTCCTCCTCCTCCTCCTCTCTAGCGGTACCCTCCACCGCCTCCTCCTCCTCTCCCTCCTCCTCCCCTCCTCCTCCCTCCCTCTTCCCTCTTCCTTCCATGTTCCCTCCTCCTCCTCCCTCCTCCCTCCTCCTCCTCCCTCCTCCCCTCCCCCCCCCCTCTCCCTCCCTCCCTCCCTCCCTCCCCCCTCCCTCCCTCCCTCCTCCTCCCTCCCCTCCTCTCTCCTCCTCCTCCTCCTCCTCCTCCTCTCCTCCTCCTCCTCCTCTCCTCCTCCTCCTCCTCCTCCTCCCTCCTCCTCCTCCTCTCTCCTCCTCCTCCTCTCCTCCTCCTCCTCCTCCTCCTCCTCCCTCCTCCTCCTCCTCCTCCTCCTCCTCCTCCTCCTCACACACCACTAGCATCCGAAGTCGTGATGGCAGCCAACCCGCGGGCCCCGCAGCTCTCGGCGGCCCCCCTCCCCGGGACCCTTTGTTCCCGCGGATCGTTTTGTTGGGCGCCAGTCGCCCAGGCGCCCGAGGTTCACCGCCAGACGCTCCAGGATCCGTCGAGCTTGACTTGACAGGATCTCGCGGGACCTCGAGCCCAAGTGCAAGGGCAGAAGCTGAGCACGCCTCTGTTCTATCACTGCGTGAGGGTGGAAGCCCTGGAAGTCCGTCTCCTCATCCTGCTCCTCCTCCTCTGGGGAGGTGAGCACCGATGCCGCTACTCCCCAGACCTCGGGGTGCTCTCTGACCGGACTTCCGAGACGAGTCCGGCGGGGGCGACGAGGGGCCTCCCAGGAGGCCGGGCACAGGGGAAAACGACGGAAGGGCAGCGGTATGGGAACCTTCTCCTCCTCTGATCCTTCTCCTCATCCTGCTACCCCTCCTCCTGCTCCTCCTCCTCCTTCCTTTTCCTCCTTCTCCTCCTCCTCCTCTCGCCTCCCTCTCTCCTCTTTGGACGCCCGAGATGGGTATGAAGAACATGGGTATGATGCCCGACAACAAACGTTGTCCAAAACCGACGGCGCCGCTGTTGGGCAAGCGGCTTTTCTTTTTGTCTTAAGTAGACAACGTCAGCGATGGCACGGACAGCGCGTCCTGCGCAAAATGAACAAGAACTGATGTCGGCATTTGTACACATTCCGTACCCATTTCGATCGTCCCAATCCTCGCAAGCACGGATGAACCCGCAGGCGCCTTAGGGCGAACTTTTCTGTCTTGCCTATCTTCCGCCCTTTGGAGGAACTGTCTCGGTGCAGAGGCGCTGAGAGGAAATGAACGTTCGGGCATGTTCTTTGTTTACATCACTCTTGTGATGGCGGCTATCCTGAGACACGTCGGTCGGAAGAAGTAGGAAAGCGGATGTGGTAGATTGGGTCCAGGTCCTCCCAGAGAATTCGCCGGCCCAACGGGCCAGATGCGTGCTAAGATCTCTGGTAACTACTGAACAATATTTCTAGTTCGCGCTCGCGGTGTGGCCACGGGGCCCCGGACGAAAAGTACCCCGGCCGATCCCCGGCCGGGTCCCGGGCGATCCCCAGGGGGGGGCTATTTTTCGCCACCCCTCACGAGGATCGTGGCCTCCGAGGGGGGGGCTGCAATCGACTGCCCCCCCTCCCGCCCCAAGGGCCCCCCAAGAGCCCCCCAAAAGGCCCCTGCAGGGGAGCCCGATACGCCGCCAAGGAGCTCCGAGACGCTCCCGGGAAGCCCCCAAGCAGCCCGAGACGGCCCCAAGAGGCCCCAAATAGCGCTCCAGGGCCGGCGGAATGAGCGAAGCGATTAAATAACAAAACACAGCAAAATCATGTCGATTCTTGAAGTAGGAAGGCGCTTGGAGTAGAATGGGATCTGGGAACCCAAAAATACCTACTTTCATCGACCGGCGTGTAATCCTCCTTAAAACAAGGCTAAGATCGGGATAAATCGCTCCAGAGCGTTCCGGAGCGCTCTCAGAGCGTTCCGGAACGCTCTGGAGCGGCCGCGGCGCCCAATACATCCTCCAAACCCGCCGATTCTCAGAGATTTCGAATTATCCCGATCCGATTTTGTCCCGATCTTCGCGTCGTTCTCCGCCTCCCGTCCACATCCTCCCCAGGAGTGGCCGGCCTCTCCCCCATCGCCTTAGCCACCCCCCCCACGCCCCCTCCGACCCTCGACTCCCCGCGCGCTGCTCCGCAACGGTCGGCGAGGAGCAGCACCCGCTCCGCGAGCGGGGCCTCCCTCTCGCCTCCCTCTCGCCTCCCTCTCGCCCCCAAGATATAAACCACCACCGCCTCCCTGACCCCATCCCTCTCCTCAGGAAAGGAGGAGGCGAGGAGGAGCAGAGGAGGGAGGAGGAGTGGAGGTGGCGGTGGTGTATCATTCTTGGGACCCGCATCTCCCCTCGACCACCCCGTTCACGCCCCTGGTCCACCTTTCCACTCCCTTCATCGCCCCCCCTCCCCCCTCAACCCTCCCAGTGCGACGGCGTCGACGAACGACGACGACGACGACGACGACGTCCTCGTCGTCGGCGTTGTCGTCGTCCGCAGCGTCTTTGACGTTAAGGACGACGACAACGCCAACAGCGACGACGACGATTTAAGGTTGAAGTTAACGTCGACGCCAACAACAATGACGTTAACGTTGACGTTAGCGTTGGCGACGCTGCCGACACCAACGTCGACGACATTGATGGTAACGACGACGACGACGACGACGACGACGACGACGACGACGACGACAACGTTGACGATGACGATGAAGTTGACGTTGACATCGACGACAACGACGACGACGTTGACATTGACGTTGGCGATGACGTTGACGTTGACGACGACGTTGACGTTAACGTTGACGACGCCGACGACAATGACGTTAATCATTAACATTCAAGACAACGTTGACGACGAACACGACGACGATGACGTCGACGGTGACATTGAGGACGCCGACTTCGACATTGACGTTGACAATGACGACGACGACCACGACTTCGACTACGACAACGACGCTGACGACGGTGATGTTGAACTTGACGTTGATGCTGGCGCTGACGACGGCGACGACGTTGACGTTGACGACGAGAAAGACGACGTTGACGACGTCGGCGACGTTGACGTTGAAACCAACAACGACGACAACAATGATTTCGACGTTGCAGCTAACTTCGGCGACGATGGCGGCGTTGACAATGACGTTGACGACAACGGCGGCGACGACGACGTTGACGCTGTCGACGAAGGACGACGACGACATACGACGAAGACGGTGACGTTGACGCTGATGCTGGCGCTGACGACGTCGACGACGCTGACGTCGACGCTGACGCTGGCGCTGACGACGTCGACGACGCTGACGTCGACGCTGACGCTGGCGACGTCGACGACGTCAACGCTAACGTCGACGACGACGACGACGACGACGCCCAGGGCCTCCTCCTCCTCCTCCTCCTCCTCCTCCCTCCTCCCTCCTCATCCTCCTCCTCCTCCTCCTCCTCCCTCCCTCCCACCCCCCCCCCAGCAGGCCTCCTCCGCCAGCAGGGCCTGCAGGGAGCCCAGCGCCCCGCCCTGGCCCGCGGCGGGCGCCGTGCCGCCCCCGGCCGCCTGCGCGGCGGGCGCGCGGGGCGCGGCAGGGCGCGGCGGGGCGGCGCGGCCGCGCGCCGCGGGCGTGCCGCGCTGCGCTGCGCTGCACCGCGCGCGCGGCAGGAGACTGCTGCGGCGTCGCCTTGCCCTAAGATCCTGGCGTTGGAGCCGATGTTTTCCCCCGAGCCGTGCTTGCACTGAGGGGGCCCTGGCGGAAGTTGAAAGATCTGGTGACAGTGCCCCGCCGATTTTTTGGTGGCTGGCTGGATTCCCGGGTTCCCGGTTCTGGGCTCCCGGGTTTTTAGTTCTTGGTTCGAGGCCGATTTCAGTGGGTTTCGGGTTCCCGGGTTTCAGGTCGGTCTCCTTATCGATCTAACCATCCACTGATTGGGGTGTTGCTCCGGTGTGATTTTCAGATTCAGGCAAGTTTACTTGCACGGCGTTCCACCCCCCCCCTCGCCCCTCCTGAGACGAACACTGGCATGCAAGCGCCTTTCGACTTGCGTGGTTTCCAAACGTGCAAGTCGTTCTCGGCTTTTCTCAACGACTTGCGTTGTTGAAGGGGAACTGGGACACACAAATAAATACACACAAATAACAGGATTCCCCATATTTTCCCATATTTTCCGGGTTTCTGTCTTCCCCCCCACTTCCCATATTTTCCCATATTTGTGTAGGGAATGGACGATTAATTGTGTCTGTGTGTTTCTTTCCCTCCTGAGTTGTGCACGTTCTCATATTCGGCGTTTCGACATTGGGCGGAGGGGGGGGGAGCGTGAGAGGGGTCTGCCTCCAGACCTCTGCCTCGCGCGACCGTTGGCAACCGCGCGCCCCATGGTGGAGGCTCCACCTGCTCGAAGCAGGCGCCCAGAGCAGCCGAGACGTGCGCCACGAGAGGAGGGAGAGCGCGGGGGGCGGGTGCGAGGGCCTGCGTGCACGGTTTCCCCCGGGGCCGTAGGCGACCCGAGGAGGAGGAGGAGGCGGAGGAGGAGGCGGAGGAGGAGGAGGAGGAGGAGGGAGAGGAGTAGGAGGAGGAGAAGGAAGAGGAGGAGGAGGAGGAGGAGGAGGAGGAGGAGGAGGAGGAGAAGGACGGGTCGCCTAAGCCCTTCGGAGAAACCCTCCAGGCCTGCGCCGACAGGCAAAACAATGAAGAAGACAACGATCGCGCTGCACTTTTCTCGAGCCGGGCGCTTCGTCAGGCCTCGGGCCCCGGGACCCTCGCAGGTCGATCCGGCTCGAGGAGCTCTGAGATCCGACGGCATGAAAACATCTCGAGACGACGTGAGAAATCGGGCCCAGAGGCTCGGACCCTATCTTTCTGCACCATGTTTCGAGCCGGAGCGATGCGGGAGGGCCCCGGGGCCCGAAATTATGCGAAAATGCCCGGCTCGAAAAAATGGAGTCGCCAGGATCTCAGGGAATGCCACAGGCAGCTGGGGTGGTCCGGGGCCCCAGCGGCGTCTTTTGTTGCGAGGTTGCAGCTTCTTCTTTTTTGCAGCGTCGGATCTCAGGGGGCCCTGGGCCACTCGAGTTTGCACCCAGTTCGCCACTCGGAGGTCCGCGCAGACTTCTCGGATCGGCGCTGGACCCTCCGCCTGAGGCGCAGCGACAGCTGGCCATCGCTCGGACGTCCATTCCCTGCGCTTTTTTCGGTTTCGTGCGTGGTTTTTTCGCCAAATGATCAGGGATGCTCCTCGATGGTCCCCGCCGAAGGAAAAACGCACACGTCCGAGCGATGCCAAGATAAGGGGGGACTGGCATAGGGGGGCATGCATCGACCTGGAATCGGTGATACACCGCCGACGGATCGGCGGCCTCCGCTAGGGAAAATCCGCACCTTCCTGGGCAGGCTGGAGCTGTCGGGCCCCTGTCGGCGAGCAATGGGCGATTGGGGGTCGATGCATCCCCCCCCCTATGGCCATCCCCCCCTATCTAGGGGGCAAACAACCTTAGCTCGCTTTTGACCACCCTCGCTTCCAAGAGATACCAAGCGATGCCAAACTACGGCCTGTACTGGTCAGGCCGCTTGACGAGGAGGCGCGTGGTATGACTCGTTTTTGCCTGGAAGCGAAAGCGGGGTAGGTAATTCACGCTCTGACTATCGTTGCCCCCGACCTCCCTGGCGCGCGGAGCGCGCCAAGGGCGGCGCCGAAGGCGCCGCCAGGGGGCCCCAACGCCGGTCCGAGAAATCCGCACGGACCTCCGAGTTTTCGTGTTTCTGTCATGGCTCGTTTCCCCGGCATCGTCTCTGTGCCCCCGGTCGCGGCCCTGGCCCCCTGGCCCGCGGCGATGCCCATGCGCCTCGCGGGCCATCCTCTGCTCCGACGGTACAGCCACCCTGCTGCTGACCACTCGGCTCCCTGCGCACGCCGCCCCCGGTGCCCGAGGCCCCCATGGCGCTCCTCGCCCGCCGAAGCTCGACGGTCGGGCATCTCCTCCCTCCTCTTGACAACATGGGGCCGACCGTCCCGGCATCCCGATGTTTTAAAACGAGGCAGACCCAGCCAGGAATGTTCCGAGGACATGCCGTGCAGACCACCGAGAGTTCTTAGAACATTCTTCGGTGGGCCTGATAGGCGAACCGGGACGCTTCTCCACTGCTTGAGACTCCTCCGCGACCGCTCTCCGCTCCTTTCGGCGGTGGACAAACCTCCCTTTAGTAAACCTCCCCTTAATGGAAACGGCCTGGGACCGAAACCGACGGACCTGGACCCGCAAAAATGATGGCAGCGACGCCCTCTCGCGAACCGACAACGGCCAATTCCTCAATCGACGTGTCAGGGTAGGAGGTCTATAGCCACCTCCGATCTTCCCTCGAGACCCGACGCCGCACAACAGATTGCGCAACCGCAACAAACCACACCTCCGGAGCCCCGGAGCCCATCCTCCTGCACCGTGCCTCGAGCCGGATCGATCTGCGAGGGCCCCGCGGCCCGGAGCTCTGCGACATCGCGCCCGCTGCGGGCACGTCGCGGCGCCAGGACCTCCGGGCTCCCGCCATCGCTCCGCGCGCCCCGCGCCCGGCGGGCCCCGCCGGCTCCGACCCTCGCGCCCGCACCCGCTGGCGCTGGTGAAGGCCTGGGGTCGGGCGTGTGCTCCTGCGGGCGGACTTCGGAAGAAAAGCAGAACATGCCCAAGAGAAAGCGCATCCTGGTGTATACGGGATCCTGGTGTATACATTCTTCGTCATTTCCCTGGGAATACGGGAAACATGTATACACCACACCACCCCGACGTCGTCCCCGACCCTCAGGACCCGAAGGTCCAGACGGTCTGAGGCTTCTCTGGCCGCCCCGCGGTCTTCCACTGCCTCGCCCCATCGCCCGCCTGCGCTCCATGTGCCGCAATTCGCAGCGGATGCGTCTCGCCGTTTGCTTGACCCCTTCTTGGACCCAGCTCGCCATTGACAATAAAAAGTCTGCGAGTGGCTGGGGCCGAGGCCGTGTCGACAGCGCCCCGCGAGAAGGACTATCAAAGCGCCGTTTGCACGTCTACTCTGTGCTGCCCGTCGACTCTTTCCACGCAGTCCTTGCCCTCCGACGACGGTGTAATAGCATCGTGTCGTGGCAACGACTCCAGCACCACAACGACTCCTGCACTACAAAGATTATGGCTGCTATTCCGACCGACGTGCTGTTGTAAGTAAGTATCCCGTGTCGGCACGCTCCTGACACATCTGGCCCCTGGCACAGCTGAGGCGCGCCCTGAGGAGGGCTGAACATTCTTGCTGCCGTTGTATCTTCCCCGATGCTCTCGCATCCACTACCTTGGGTGGTTATATCATGACTTCCTCTGGACGCCGAAACGTCCAATATGGATGTCTGAGAGGTCCCAAAAAGGTACGGAAGATCCGTTTGCGAGCAAAGCAAGTTCAAGGAGAGTAATCCCCAAAGCAAGAACTGACGCGATAAGACAGCGGGCCTCCCGCACATGGCGTTGCCAAAGCGCGTCCGCGCAAATGCTGCGGCTGGCTGACCTGGGGAAACCAATTAGCCAATGCAGGCTTGGCGAGTGCATTTGGGAATCGCTCTGGCCGCGGTGACGCTGCCAAGTAGGACTGCCAGAAACAGGCAGATTGGCAGACCTCGCAGGCAGAATCAGCTGCACTTCTCGAGCCATGATGGCCACAGGATCGACAATGACACTCCCACACGGCCTCCAAGTCTTCGAGAGTCTGAGGACGAAGCCAAAGGCCCAAAAAGGGCCGAACATGTTCCAAAGAACTCTATGCACGGACGACGCTGACAACGGCGAAGACGCCGCCGAGGCCGATGCAGACGGACCCAGACGACACCGACGACGACACGCGACTAACGACCGACGAGCGACGACGATCGACGAGCGACGATCAACGACCGACGAGCGACGACGGCGTCGGACGACGACGACGACGACGACGATGACCGACAACAAACGATCGAGGAACGATGACCGACGACCGACGACCGACCCCGATGCCGACGCCCGACGCCGCCGACGCCGCCGCCGCTGACAACGACGATGACGGCCGACATCGACGCCGATGCCAACGACGACGGCGGCGCCGCCGCCGCCGACGACGAAGACGACGAAGACGACGACAAACGATGTGTAAAATCTGAAGGTCTCCAGATGTCCCCAGCCGGCCGGGGTTCCTTCGAGGCTTCATGAAAGGCTCTCGAGGCTCTTGGAGGCCCACGAGGTGCCAATAGCACCCAACAACTTCACAACCTCGAACCTCGATCGTTCGTTAGAACCTCGCTCGATCGATGGACCCCCGTTAGAACCTCGGCCGATGACGACGGCGACGACTCTCCACACCCTCCTCTTTCTTTGGGCACCCGAGTTATCCTGGGTAACTCGGGTCCGGGGTAACTCGGGCTTGGATTCCTGAACAACGAACCCGAGTTAGCCCTGACCCGAGTTACCCCTCATGATTTGGGGCTCTGGACGCCCGAATTATCCGGGGTAACTCGGGCCTGGGGTAACTCGGGTTCGGAGTCCCGAAAAACGAACCCGAGTTAGCCCTGACCCGAGCTACCCCTGATGATTCGGGGCTCTGATTTCTCCTCCTCCCTCGTCCTCCTCGCTCCGCTCCCTCTCCTCCTCCTCCTCCTCCTCCTCCTCCTCCTCCTCTCCTCCTCCTCCTCCTCCTCCTCCTCCTCCTCCTCCTCCCCCTCCCCCTCCCCCTCCTCCTCCTCCTCCTCCTTCTCCTCCTCCTCCCCTCCGGCGACGAAGCCGACACGACGACGACGACGCCGCCGACGCCGAGCGAACGGCGACCCGCGACTGGCAGCCGAGCCCGCCGCCTCCGCCTCCATCCGAGCGGGGCCGCCGCGGCCCGCTCGAGAGCAGCGCCGAGGCACGCTCCCTGGCGCGCCCCCCTCCGGGCGCCCTCCCGCGCTGGGCCCAGACTCGGGCCGTCCCCGCCGCCGGTCGCCGGCGGCGTTGCCGGCGCCTCGCCATCGCTCGGACGTCCATTCCCTGCGCTTTTTTCGGCCTCGTGCGTGGTTTTTCCGCCAAATGATCAGGGATGCTCCTCGATGGTCCCCGCCGGAGGAAAAACGCACACGTCCGAGCGATGCCAGGGCGAAGGACTGTGTTCGCTTCGGCCATCGCGTCCAGGCGCGCGGGGTTGGCTCGCGAACGCGTGCCGCTTGTGCTGCTCTCCAGGAGGCGTGCCAGAAGGCAGCCAGGCTCCTCAGAGTGGCCTGCGCGGGCCCAAGCACCTGGAGCGAGTGGATCCACGGGACAAAAAATGCGCAAAGAGCATAAAGAGCAAGAACGTTCTAGCGGAGCCAAGTTCGGGCGGATCGATTTGTGCAATCCCGCGATTGACCCCTCCATCCTTCCAGTGCACTTCTTTCCTAGGGAGCTGGACTGATTCCCAGAAACTTGATGTGCTTCCCGGCGGCATTCGCACTGTAGTAGTACTGCATGTGTGATGTAGTATGTACTAGTGCGGTGCTGGTGTAGCAATACTATTGTAGCACTGCAGGTCATACTGTCGTAGCACGCTTTTAGTAGTGTACTGTGCAAAGCAGAACTGCGTTAACACTGCACGAAAGTAGTAACATACGACTATTGGAATGATGTGGTAGTGCTGCACTCGTACTCTAGCAGTACTGTAGCCATGGTGCAACCGTACTGTCGTGCTGTAGCACTGTCGCAGTACTGTGAAAGCGCTGTAGTGGTACTGCGATTACACTGTAGACACGCTGTAGCACGATTGTGATAGCAGCGCTGCTGCAGACGCTCCTGAGAGGCTTCTGAGAAGAGCCTACAGACAGGTTCTGAGATGCCTCCGAGAGGGTCTTGAAGAACGGGCCTCTGCAAGAGCTGCTAGCGGCCTCCGGGAGGCTTCCGAGAGAGGCCGCAGGGAGGAAGCTGGAGAGGCTCCTGGCATTCTACGGCCGCCCAGGGTGGAGAGATGTTGGGCCTGCACGCTCTGGCCACGAGCGGGGGCCAGTCCTCCCACAACGGGCGCCAAACCTTCGCGCCTCGCGCTGCGCGGAGCGAGGAGTGCAGCCTCGCGCTCTCGCGCCGCCCCACCAAGGGAGAAGAGGAGGATGCGGAATCGGGGCTTTCCGCGAAAGCGCGAACAGCTTTGTGGATGCCACGACAATGGACACCCTAACATTCCTGTCATTGAATTTTAAATGTGTTTATAATGTCGGAACATGTTTCAAACATGTTCTAAACATGCTTAAAACATGTTCAACACATGTTCAACACATGTCTTAGACATCTGGAAATTATTTGGCAGCATGCTTCCTCTCCCATAATCGACTTCCACAACCCTTGCAATCCTTCCACGGGGCGGCCCGCTCCGACGGCTCCTCGCCCACCGCGCGGGCGCACCCGAACGCCCAAGACTCCCCGATGCCCTGGACGCGGGAGGCGGGGGGCTCTCCAGAGACGGGCGACGCTCGCCGGTGGAAGGAGCGCCTCCTGCTCCTCCTCCTCCTCCTCCTCCTCCTCCTCCTCCTCCTCCTCCTCCTCCTCCGCCTCCTCGCCAGCGATCTTCGACCCCGTCGCAGCAATGCTCTCTCCCCTCCGTCCGTCTCCCTGCTCCTCCTCGGCCTCCTCTCCCCTCCCCCCAGCCCCTCCCCCCTCCCCCCTTTCCCACCCTCCTGCAACTCCTCCTCCTCCTCCTCCTCCGATTTCGCGGCCTCCCCCTCCCCTCCTGCTCCGGAGACGTCGGGGGACCTCCTCAGATGCCTCCTGGAGACCTCGCGGGACCTGCGACCTGAAGGTCCGAGAGGCCTCCGGAGGCTCTCCGGAGGCTCTCGCGCCCGCCGCGAAGGACCCTGGCCGGCATGCGATCTGGGAGAGGCTCGGGGGTTGATTCCAAGAGGATGCATCCTCCTCCTCCTCCTTCCTCCTCCTCCTCCTCCTCCTCCTTCCTCCACCTCCTCCTCCTTCCTCCTCCTCCTTCTACTTCTTCTTCTTCTTCCTCCTTCCTCCTCCTCCCTCCTCCTCCTTCCTCCGATCTCCTTCCTCCTTCCTCCTTCCGCCTCCTCCTCCTCCTCCTCCTCCTCCTCCCGGCGTGAGACTTTCGACCGCTTGCCCTACTGTAGCGCCGAACTGCCTGGCCACAAGATGAGGTGCTGCCCCTCTTCACTGCAGCCCTTCCCTGCGCCCGCCCTTCGCGCCGCGCCCTGGGAGGAGGCCTACAGAATTTGCTCCAAGAATGGCTGGTCTGCAAATGACAATCATGGAAAGCGGCGGGTCAATTGCAATGTCATCGCAGGGGCCGTGAACGCATGCCGAACGCGCGCACGTATGCTCTACAACAGCAACGATCATCTCTCATTTCTGGGACTCACACAGGACACATGTTGATGAAGCGTCGGTCTCACCATAGCAAGACACCAGTGGGCCATGCTTCCAAACTTACAATGGCACGCCGCGTTCGCATTCCTGCGCCCAGTGGCACGCAGGATACACGCGGAGCTGCTCGCGCATGTTCCCCGCCAGTGGAAAGATCCGGGCGACGAGAGCATCATGATCAGGCACCTGTTAGACGAGAACAAGCTGCACGGTTTCCCCCGGGGCGGTAGGCGACCCGAGGAGGAGGAGGAGGAGGAGGAGGAGGAGGAGGAGGAGGAGGAGGAGGTGGAGTAGGAGGAGGAGGAGGAGGAGGAGGAGGAGGAGGGGAGACGGAGGAGGAGGAGGAGGACGAGGAGGACGAGGAGGAGAAGGAGGTGGATTAGGAAGAGGAGGAGGAGGAGGAGGAGGAGGAGGAGGAGGACGAGGAGGAGAAGGAGGAGGAGGGGGAGGAGGAGGAGGAGGACGGGTCGCCTAAACCCTTCGGAAAAACCCTCCAGAACAAGCAAGGACGGTGACGGGCATGACGAAGTGCCGAGAAATAACAAACTTACACCACAGGAACCCGTTGGATCATGTTTACGCCCCGCCGCCCACTCCCCTCCCCCCTGGTCACGTCATGATTCGCGCCAGCGGCGCCTTGGAACCAACTATGATTGACCATTCCCACGCGGCGCCGGCGCGAATCGTGATACGGCCTGCCCCCTACCCCCTCCCTCCGAGGCCCTGGAGTCCGCAGCCCAGGCGACCAGGAGTCCCGAGAAACGCAGAGGTGGACGACTATGATGAGAGGGGTGGTAGACGAGAGGGAGGGGGAGGAGGAACAAAAAGGAGGCGGATGAGGAGGAGGAGGAGAAGGAGGAGGAGGAGGAGGAGGAGGAGGAGGGAGGAGGGATGAGGGAGGAGGAGGGAGGAGGGAGGAAGGAGGAGGGAGGAGGGAGGAGGGAGGAGGGAGGAGGGAGGAGGAGGAGGAGGAGGAGGAGGAGGCGGAGGAGGAGGAGGAGGAGAGTCTCCGAGGTAAGCTCCCGTCGTGGTCGCACGTGCCCCCCCCCCTCCTCCCGCCTCCCCTGGTCACGCCCGCTGCCAGGGGACAGAGAAGCTCGTTCCCCGAGCGGGCGCGGGGCAGTTTGAAGTCAGCGGCGCAGAGGGCCCTCAGGCGCGGGCAGCAGGCCGGAGTAACGACTCCGATCGAGCGTCATGATGTTCCAGCCTACAGTCGGACGTCATTAGACAGGACACGCGAGGGGACAAAAGACCCCTCCGAGGGCCACAGTGCCATAGGAATGCAGGAGACATGGGTCGCGAGACACAGGACACGAGGGCACCCTTGATCTGGCAGGGTCGACCTACCAATCCGGGCCGCCTGTGCTTTAGCCTGATCGCGGGAAAGATTTGAGCACCAAGAAGGCACCGACACTGGAGGGTTTTCACGTGTCGGGCCCTGGGGGGGGCGATGCTCGTTCGACGCCGCTTCGGCACCTCTCTGGGTGCCCAGACCTGTTTCTGGGATGCGGCCCTCGAGCAGGATGGGAGCAACACGAGTCGAGCGTCGTCGAAGGCACAGCGCACACTGCAGGCGATGGCGGGTGGGGCACCCTGCAACACACACGCGGCGCGCACAGCCAGGAGGAGGAGGAGGAGGAGGAGGAGGAGGAGGAGGAGGCAGCCAGGAGGGGGGGGGAGGAGGAGGAGGAGGAGGAGGGAGGAGGAGAGGAGGAGGGGAGGAGGAGGAGGAGGAGAGGAGGAGAGGAGGAGGAGGAGAAGGAGGAGGAGGAGGAGGCCGTGCCCAGCGGGCAGCCGCCGTGCCCCCGCGCTCTCTCTCGTGGGGAGGGGGGGGGGGCGCCGCGCGGAGGCCCCCCGCCCGAGGCGGCGGCGGCGCTGCTTTGCGAGGGCCCGGGCCTCCGATGGCGGAGGAGCGTAAAGGGTGCAGTACTGCAGCTCGACCACGAGAAACCTTCCACGAGAGACCCAGCCCTGGAGCCCCAGGACGTCCGTCGACTCGCGTCGCGGGGACGGTCCACGCTTTCCATGGCGAGCGCTCTCCAGGGCAGGGCCATCGGGAGCCACGAAGCCCGGGGCACGCTAAAGGCAGGCAGGGTGTTGCTGTGCATGGGCCTTCACTGCACCCCGAACCCTTTGGGAGGGGCACTCGCTTAAGAGGGCCGGGAACATTATGGATAGGGGTCTTCTCTACAGACGCATCTGACCGAACCGCCCAGGTTCAGTATCCCTACTGCATGAGGCGGGGACCTCGGTGAGGCCGCCTTCATCGTGTTATTATGGTTGGGGTTCATCTGCTCTCGATGAACGAGGTTTTCTGCTCACGGCGTGGTTGCGGTCGGGAACTTTCTGATAGCGCGTCGCTCCGCGAGGTCTGCTCCGCCACGCTCTCGAGCGACGCGCTATCCGCTTCCAGGTCCCCTGGCGCAGCCCGCTCCCCGCACCTGGGCGCAGCCACAGGGAGATGGGACCCGGGACTTCGAGGAGGTGGGCAACATGCACACGCGCTTCACGTGCAGGATCTGCAAGATCCTCCATGCCGAGGGCAAGGAGTTCCTTGTGGAGTCGTCTTCCCCCTCGGGACGCTACCCCAAGATCTGGGACCAGCCCGAGATGATCGAGCTGCGACGCGTCACGGGGGCCCTAATGACAAGTACAAGGGGCACTCTGGGCACAACGGCGGTGCGCCAGCCGTGCACGACCTCGCTGCTCGGCTGCTGGCGCGCTGCGCGGCCGCGGCGGCCCCGCACCACAGGGAGCAGACCGTCGAGGCCTCCATGGGAGGACTCCCGCCGGGTAACCCGCCCTTTTTGAAGGGGCCCCAGGACACACAAATAAATGCACACAGATAAAAATATTCCCCATATTTGTCCCATATGTTCGGGGTTTCTGCCTGCCCCCCCCACTTCCCATAGTTTCCCATATTTTCCTCGGGAATCGACGATTAATTGTGTCTGTGTGTTTTTTCCCCTCCTGACTTTTAGCAGGTGGTCGGATGTTGCGTGTGCCAGCAGGCCGTCCAGTCGGACCGCCCGAGGCTATTCTTCAAGCTTCTCTGGGCCGTGGGGCTCACGGAGGCCCACGAAAGCGTGCTTTTGAGGACGTCGTCGACGAGCTCCCGACCACGAGCGGCGCTGCCCGCAGGCTCGGCCGCGCCCCGCGGCGTTCCCGCGAGCGCCAAGCCCGGCAGCTGCTCGACCTGACCTCCCAAGGCAAGAGCGACGCCGACCTCGCCGGCGTCGATGCCGGCAAGGGGGCGGGGACCGACGAGTGATGCTGCTGCCGCTCTCGTCTTCCTCCTTTTCCTCCTCCTCCGCCTCCCTTCCTCCTGCTCCTCCTCCTCCTCCTGCTGCCGCTCTCCTCCTCCTCCTCCTCCTCCTCCTCCTCCTCCTCCTCCTCCTCCTCCGCCTCCTCCGCCTCCTCCTCCTCCTCCTTCGCCTCCGCCTCCCTTCCTCTGGCAGGTAGCCCTGGCACTCGCGGAATGCACTTTCGGGCATTGGCGCCGTCCGCGAGGGCTCGGCAGGCAGGGCCGTCCAGGGCAGGTTCTGTCCGCGTGCATGTGGGGGTCCGCCTGCCTGGCTCGGGCCGCTCTCGCGGCGTCCGCTCCTGCCTCCGTCCTCCCTGCCCCTCCCGTCCGCCTCCTCGCGCCCCCCCGGGAAGAGAAGCGCTAGCAATCGTGCGACGTTGTCTCCGGAAGCGGAGACCTTTTCTGCCCGAGAATCCGCTGCTGTTTTGAGCCATGCAGAAGTCGATGGATCTCGCGGAGCGGTTCCTGTCCTATCCTGCCCACCTGGCCATCATCAGCATCCTGATCACCATCACCACCAAAACCACCATCACCATCACCGCCACCACCACCACCATGAGCGTCGCCAACATCATCATCAACATCACCACCTCCACCATCATCATGACCATCGTGATTATCATCATCATTAATATGACAGCGAATGTGGATAGCATCATATCATGCATAATCCACCTCATCCTCAGCCTCATCATGATCATAGTCATGGAACGATCATCACCACAATAATCATCAGCACCAGCATCGTCATCGTCGCCGCCGGAGCAGTCATCATCACCATCGCCATCACCATTTTCATGAGCACCCTCATTATTACATCATCGCCCGCATCCTCACGTTGAATACCATCAATCCCATCAGCATCGGCCTCAGCATGATGCCCATTCTCGGCACCAATATCATCATGGCCACCATCATCGTCATCGTCGCCGTCGCCGTTGTCGTCGCCGTCGGCACCATCATACTACCACCACCAGCATCACCATCACCATCAATATCACCATAATCATCCATGGTCATCACCAACATCAACATTACCACAATCAACGGCAACATCATCATCATCATCATCATCATCATCATCATCATCATCATCATCATCATCATCGACAGCACCACCACCAGCACCACCATCATCATAACCATCACTATCATTGTCAGCACCATCACCATCATAATCAGCATCAACATCATCTCACCACCACCATCCTCATTCCCGTTATCATCCTCCTCATCATCATGATCACCGTCATTATCATACCAATCATCCTCACCTCATTATCAGCATCCTCCTCCTCCTCCTTATCCTCATCACCACCACCACCACCACGTCCATCATCATCATCATCATCATCATCATCATCATCATCATCATCATCATCATCAGCACCATCATATTCAGTATCATTAACATCATCAACACCTTCATGATCATGAACATAAACAGCAGCAGCATCATCATCATCATCATCATCATCATCGGCATCATCATCATCCTCATCCTCCTCCTCATCATCATCAGCATCAGCATCAGCATCAGCATCATCATCATCATCATCATCATCAACAACATCTTCATCGCCTTCCCCATCCCACCCGCGCAGGCTGAGGCGGCCACGACCGCCACAACGCCCCGCCCCGCCCCACCTCTGGGGAAGCCTGGCATCCCCAGGGGGGCCCTGCTTAGCTGCCACAGCAAGCCCGCAGGGCATTCGCTGACTCGTGCTGGCTGTCCATTACAACCCCCATCCCTCCTCCTCCTCTTACCATATTTCTCCTCTTCCTGCTTTTCCTTCTCCTCCTCTTTCCCCTCCTCCTTTCCCCCCCCCCCTGCCACCTCCTCCTCCTCCTCCTCCTCCTCCTCCTCCTCCTCCTCCTCCTCCTCCCCTCCTCCTCCTCCTCCTCCCTCCTCTCCTCTCCTGGACGCAGCACTGCGGCCTGGCTGATCCAAACCATCTGCTCCTCCTACTCCTCCTCCTCCTCCTCCCTCCTCTTCCTCCTCCTCCTCCTCCTCCTCCTCCTCCTCCTCCGCCTCCTCCCAACCTCCCAGACCCCGCGGCGATTGTTTCGCAATGCGGGCCCCAAACTGTATCGACCCCTCCCCGAAGACCAGCTTTTCATCCCGAACCGTGCTTTGACGGCTTCCTGGGGCCTTTCTGCTACGTGCAGTGAAAAGGGAAACCACCGGCATGGAAATAACCGTTGTGCCGGAGGTCTCAGCAATCCTCCTCCTCCCCGACTCCTCCCCCGCGAGTGCGTATCTTTACCACCAGAACGACTCTTTACAACCAGCTCGAGTGGGCACTTTCCAACCAGAAAAGATTTCCCCGGAAGCCAGGAAAGGTCACTGTACAACCAGGAAAACACTCTTTCCAACCTCGCAAATTAAATCAAATTGATCCGCATGTTCATACAATTCCATATCTGCGTCGTTCCACATAAGGCACGCGCTTCGCTGCCTGACGCGTGTTGATTGTGAAATTACTCGTCCCAGATTCAACATTGCGAACTCACGCTCCTGGCTGCGAGAGGACTTGCCCCATGGATTGAGACGGCGACATGCCAGACCAGGGTGGAAAAGAAAGCATGCCAGCATCCTAGCAGCAGTCGCGCTACCAACAGTACGAGTAGTTCCACAATCAGTGCTTGCACAAAAGGGGTCCTAGCGGATCTTGCAGGACTTGGCGAAAATTGGCGGTCGATTTCGGTGGGCCGCCGTGTTTCCGAGTTGCCGCTTCGGGGTTCCCGGGTTCCCCGTTCCCCGTTCCGGGCCGACTTCGCTGTTTCTGGGTTCCCGGGTCGATCTCCTGATCGATCGGTCTCACCATCGATCTCATTAGCCACCTCTCTATCGACCTCACTATCGATCTCACAATCGACCTGACGATGAAAATCACAATCGATCAAATTATAGATCGCACGAGCGATCGCACGAACGATCTCACTATCGATCTCACGGAATCAACTTCACTATCGGTCACGATCGGCCTTACAATCGTCTTCACTATCGATCCCACTGTCGATCCCACTATCGACCCTACAATCGATATCAATGTCCATATCACTATTTTCCAAGCCATCCACTGGTTGGGTTTTTCTCAGGTGTCGATTCGAAGAGGCGTAGGAATAGCACTAGCAGTAGTAGAGGTGGACGTAAGGAGCAGTAGTAGTAGTAGTAGGAGTAGTAGTAGTAGTTGCAGTAGCAGTAGTCGTAGTGGTAGTAGTGGTAGAAGTGGTAGTAGTAAAAGTAGTAGTAGTAGCAGTAGCAGTAGTAGTGAGCGTGGCAGTACTAATACTTATCGTAATAGTTGTAGTAGTAGAAGTAGTAGTAGTAGTAGTAGTAGTAGTAGCAGTAAGAGCAGTAGTAGTAGTAGTAGTAGAAGTAGTTGCAGTAGTAGAAGTAGTAGTAGTAGTAGTAGTAGTACTACTAGTAGTACTAGTAGTACTATTAGTAGTAGTAGTAATAGTAGTAGTAGTAGTAGTAGTAGTAGTAGTAGTAGTAGTAGTAGTAGTAGTACTCGTAGTAGTGATCGTAGTGAGAGCAGTAGTAGTAGTAGTAGTAGTAGTAGTAGTAGCCGTAGTAGTCGTAGTAGTAGTAGTAGTAGTAGTAGTAGTAGTAGTAGTCGTAGTCGTATTAGTAGTAGTAGTAGTAGTAGTAGTAGTAGTAGTAGTAGTAGTAGTAGATGTGATCGTAGCAGTAGTGGTGCTATAGTAGTAGCAGTAGTGGTAGTAGTAGTAGTAAAAACAAATAGTAGTGGTAGAAAACATATAAGTAGTAAATGTAGTCGCCTGAATAATAATACACACCAGTCGTAGCCGCAGAAGTAATACCCGTGGAAGTCGTCATAGTCGTAGTGGTGGTGGTAGTGCTAACTGTAATAGTAATACTACGGGTTATCGCGATAATAAAAAAATGGTAGCAGCAGTAGTCGTAGTCGTAGAAGTAGTCGTAGCCGTAGTCATAGTAGAAGTAGTAGCCGTGGTAGCTGCAGTAGCAGTAGCAGTCGCCGTAATAGCAGCAATCTAATACAAAACCAAAAAAAACTGCGGTTGCAATAGCAGTGGCGGTGGTACTATTCGTAGTCGCGGTGGAAGTCGTAATACAAGCGATAGCAGTCGTAGTCGTGGCCGTGATCGTGGTCGTGGTGGCAACAATAGTGGTAGTCAAAGTAATCGTAGTAGTCGTAGCAGTAGTCGTAGTAGGAGGAGTAATAGTTGCAGTCGTAGTTGTAGAAATACGACAAGTAGCCGTAGTAGTAGTAGTAGTAGTAGTAGTAGTAGTCGTAGTAGTAGTCGTAGTAGTAGTAGTAGTAGTGGTAGTAGAAGAAGAAGTAGTAGTAGAAGTAGTAGTAGAAGTAGTAGTAGTAGTAGTAGTAGTAGTAGTAGTAGTAATAGTGGTGGTAGCCGTAGTGGTAGTAGTAGTGCGGGTGGTGGTGGTAGTACTAGCAGTAGTAGTAGCAGCAGTCGTAGTAGTAGCAATTGTAATAGTAGTGGTCGTAATGGCAGTCGTAGTAGTAGTAAGACTAGCAGTAGCAGTAGTAGAGGTAGTAGTAGGAGTAGTAATAATAGTAGTCGTAGTAGTAGTAATAATACGAGTAGCAGTAGTAGAGGTATTAGTAGTAGTAGTAGTAGTAGCAGCAGATATATTCGTAGTAGTAGAAATAGCAGAAGTAGCAGCATAAGTATTACTAACAGCATGAGTAGTAGTAGTCGTAGTAGTTGTGGTAGTCGTAGTAGTAGTAGTAGTAGTAGTAGTAGTAGTCCTAGAGGTAGATGTAGATGTAGTAGTAGTAGTAGTAGTAATAGTAGTAGTAGTAGTAGTAGTAATAGTAGTAGTAGTAGTAGTAGTAGTAGTAGTAGTAGTGGTAGTGGTGGTGGTGGTGGTAGTAGTAGTAGTAGTAGCAGTAGTAGTAGTAGTAGTAGTAGTAGTAGTAGTAATAGTAGTAGTAGTAGTAGTAGTAGTATTAGTTGTTTGTGTTGTTCATGTAGCCGCAGTCGTAGTAGTACGAATCGTCGTTGTCGTAACTGTCGTCGACGTCGTAGTCGTAGGCGCAGTCCTGGTCGCAGCACTGGTGGTCGCATTAGTCTTTTGGGCGTTTGTCCGAATCTTGCGGGAACTCGTCAAAGGCCCGTGGGAGTTTCCACGAATTCGTCTTTAGGTGTGTCAAACGCCTTTGGCAAGCTCTCTGAGGGCTCTGGAAGCTTCTCAGGAGCCTCTAGGAGTTTCTCAGGAGCCGCTGGGGGCTTCTCAGAAGCCTCTGGGAACTTGCCCCAGGCCTCTGGGAGCCTTCTGGGAAGCCTCTAGAGGTTTTTTTAGAAGCCTCTGGAGGTTTCTAAGAGGCCTCTGGAGCCTTCTCAAATGCTTCTGGAGGTTTCTCGGCAGCCTCTGGGAACTTGTCCCAG